GCTTCATATAATTCTTTCTAAATTTTCCAATTCTCTTGTTATATTGATATAATTATAACAGTTTAAAAATTCATTTAGACTATATCATAACATTAAATTACATAAATTATTTTCATTTAAAAATCGTGAAATCAATAATAATCAATTTATTTTTAACCTTTAAACAGTCCAACTAAAGCATATTTTTTTTAGCAAACCTTTTTCATTAATCTTTTTACCTTTCACGCAGAAATTTTAGATAATACATATCGATAATTTGTGTTTTGATACACAGCATTTTGTATGTCAAAAAAAGTCTTTGATGTAAACAAGCCCGCCCTAGCAGCCGTCAATATTATGCATAATAAAATGACGGATGTTTTCAGTATATCGCTATTATAATAGCTTAGCCTTAATCACCATTATAAAAAAACCTTATTTATGATACTCTTTGAAAAATAAATCGTTTTCTCTTTCGAATCAAAGAAATCTATTAAAAAATGTCGGGACTAATGCTAAAATTTGGCTGAAGCTGCAATTATCGCGTCCCATTGTTCTATTCTATAATTTCATTCGTCGATTTCGTCACAAAAAAATAAGATTAACGTAATTATGCATATACATGTATATTTTCTTCAGTCTATATATGTATTCAAGTAAATTTTGTGGCTAACAAATTTATGAGCAATCGCAATTGTTACTTCGAATTTAATTTAAAATATATTCTTTATGTTATATACTGTTGTCATCAAACGAAAAATCTTATGATCACGGAATACATGTATTACCGAATCTCTCAATTTAGTATTCCTGTGAGTTATGTGTAACGAAACCTTAAAAATAGTTACATGTAATTAGGATTATCCCAAAACGCGCGTACGCATAGATGAAATCCTACTAAATTTCCTAATTTGTAATGCAATCCCAAAAATTCCTACTTTGTAGTATCAACACACTAATGTCGTTTCCCCAAGAGCAAGGAATATTTCATTAAAAATCTTTACCTTGCACGCCCAAGTCATTGATTATCATCATAGATCCTGACTCCTCCTTCATTGTTTGATCCATAATATAATTACTTTTTGGAAACATGATAATAGTTTTTTATTTATTTATTCTTTTTACATAAATATTTTTACATTAAATATCATCTTTTTTTTGTAAGAACTTTTACCAAAATCCTTAACTTGTACCCTACTAATCCACAAAACCTGTAAGCAACAAATTGCACTTTAGATATCTGTGTAATGATGAAAGATATATATAGAATAGCTTTCGAAGGATTGCGAGACAGGTAATGTGTGGTTTGAAGAAAAATAACTGAGTAAAACTTATTTTTAATTCATACCTAATTATGTTTCAGCTTTTGTGCCAATACGAAATTGATAGCTTTAATTCTATTTGTGCATAACAAATTGAAGGCTTCACTTCTTCGGTCATACAAAGTTGATGTTTTGTGTTTGATTCCTTGAGTATTAATATTATTATTTCGATATCACCCCTTGATATTGATATTATTTTGATATTGAGTTCATTATTTTTATTGTTTGGATATTCTTTAATTATATTAGTAGATTTCATTTCTTTGAAATTAAATTATTATTTTGAACCTTAACTTATCCTTAATTGCTCAATCTCTGTGAAAGATTTGCACAGGAGATCTTTATGGAAGAACCCTAGTGAAATCCACTTTGAGTAGACTTCGTTCCCAACTTTTGTAATTTCGTTAGTCAATTTAACTTTTGAACTGAGTGTGACAATAACCTTAATGCAATTAATTTGATACCTTTATAGTACAAATAAGACATATTCAAACAGATCTCATGATCTCTTACTCAAAAGTGAAAGCGCAACCGATATCTAGTATATTTTTATGTGTAATTCAAAAGTTAGATGAACTAGAGAATTGAAGCGTAACAGAGGAGGTGAAAGCTAGACTGAATGATTACGTAATGTAGATTTCACCGGGATCCTAAAAGGTCGCTTGTGCCGATCTACACAGAGGTTGATCAATCATGAGGACAAGGTTAAAAGGAGCAAGAGTTAAAGGTAGAATATTCAATCTTTATTTGACGCAAGTAACTACTGTCATCGGAATATTATCTCTATTGGAAATAATATTAAATGTTCTATTCAAATTAACTAATATTTATTATAAACTTTTGAAGAAATAGATTTATTAAAAATAACAATGATAATTTTAAACGAGTACATACACAAGGTCAAACAAACACGCGTTGAATTAATCACGTCTCCCTAACTTGGTATAATCAAAGCAGTAAAACCTTCGATTTGTTGAGCACAAAAAAATTAAAGCTATCAATTTTATTGTGAATACAAAAGAAATAAAAGTCAAATAGGAGTTAAAATAATTTATTTTATTTCTTTCGTTCTTTTATATATAATCCTACGTTGCTACAAAGACCCGTGATTCACTACATATAAAATGCGAATGATTATAAATTTTTGACAAAAGAAACATGGTTATGCTTTGAAAAAATATAATAATTATTTTTGTAAAGAATAATTACGATAATAGAAATAAAAAAATCAGAAGAATAATTATATTATGCGATTCAAAAATGTAGATTTCAGTATGAATTCCGTTATCAGGATACTCTTATATCAAGGGAACAACATTTTGCGAAGACTTCTATTGAAAATCATGTTCTTGAGAATGTGGGTAAGAATTTTTGTAGGAATTTTCACATTATTAGGATAAACAGTGTTTATGTTAATACTAGGCGTCTGAGGCGAAATATGTGTTGATACAACAAGGTCAGGAGAATCGAAAAAATAGGGGTAATTATAATGTCTTAGTATACAGAGATGAATATTGTCTCAAAGTCTCGCTATCACGGACTTCTTTTCGATTTTAGTCAGTCACGGGCGATTCCACAAGTCTGGTAATCACAGGATTCTATGTTGCGACGGCAACAATATCTTTTGATATGGAAATTTAAATAAAAATCCCGGGCTTGAGTTAAAACACATGTGCATTATTCGCTTATGGCTAATATACTCTGACATAAGGCATTTTTTTTAATATATAGATGTGAAGCTAGATTAATATAATTACAGTTCAAGACCTACCAAAAAACTTAAGTGTATATGTGAGTTACCGACAGAGTCAATGAAATGAAAAAACCCGATTACGATAAATCATTTTTTCGAGCTACTACTACATACTAATTTCTTATTTTTATTAATTTATTATAGTTCAATAAATAAGCTTGATTCTTTATATTTTCTTAAAAAGTGTTTTTTCAAAAATAATAGCTTTTTTCTAATGACATATTCATCTTATAGTTGTGTTTATATTTCCGAGATTGAGTATAACCGTATAAATTGCATATCAAAAAATAAAAAAATGTATTTTTCCATAGGCATAGGATGGTAATAATAACGAAGATAAGATATTAGCTTATGTAACTCCACCTATTGTTAATGCAATTCGCTGGAACTGTACATGCATTTAGCGAGAGATTGCATTTATAAAGGTAACATAATGTGCGTGGGATAACCAAGCGCGAGCATTAGAGTGAATTTGCATTTACAGAAGGGTTCTATTAATGGTAAGTTGTCGGAATTAAGGTAAAAATATTGGATGTAATTACTAAAAACGCCAAACACCTTGCTCCTGAAGTAAGGAGTTAGATGATGATGATGCATTAGGTGGTGTCGATTGGATATAATTAAACTCGAAGGGAATTGGATCAAAGGAATCGAATATGTAATATGGGAATGAGTTTGAGTCAAAAAATACGAGTGAATCGTTTGTATTTTGAGGAAACCCTTGAATTTGGCTACCATCAGTAGTATTACTGATTTCTTGAATATTATTTGAATTATCTGTAGATTTTAATTTATTGGTAAGTTTTCTAGAGCTTTTGAGTTTAATCGGATCGTATTGACGAATTTTGATTTTGGTTTTCCGTTGCGATTTTGTGAAATGCTTATCATGACTCAAAAATATCTTTAATTCGTTGGATATTTTTTTGAGTTGATCTTTATAAGCTTTGGATTTCAGCTTCCATTTCTCTGAAGCTAAATTGGAAACGTATTTCGCTTCAAGATTAAATCCGATATTCTGCAATTTACGAGCTAATGTTGTGCGATAAAGTATGAATCCATTTACAATGAACTTTTTCTCTTTAAATTCGCTAATTAGGTGATTAAGGTTTTCATCGAATGGTAAGTTTACATCGATATTTTGTAAATAATGAAACCAGTTTATATCGTCACTCTCGAATAACATGTCTAAAACGCTCTATGAAATAAATGATCGAATTATTTTTTTGAAAGAAGATATTTGCCGTTGATATTTGGCTGATATTTGGTTGATTTATATATATTTTTCATTGTTACATGTATAGCCACGTTATCTTTAATTAGATGTCTTTATTTGGTATAGGAATAATGATTTATTTTATTGGATTAGATTGGTTAATAGAAACGTCTTCTGTGAATATATACCAATAAAGAAATCTAAAAAATCTTGGAATTCGAGCTCATTATGTTTCAATCATCATCTACAAACATGTATCTAATAAGCTATTAGTTTTTCCAAATCTAGGTAACATAACCCGAACTAGTGTAACACGAAAAATCAACCGTGATCCAAATTTATGGTAGAAGAGTTAAATAAAAATTCATGGAATGAATATGTTGATAATCACTTTGATTATACATGTATATATTTAACTATTTAATCGAAAAAAATGAACTTTTAAGTCATACTAATAATAAATATTATTGCTTAACCACGCTCTCAAATCTCGAAAGGTGATAATAACATTCTTAACATTCTGGAATGGAATGGAATGGATATAATCAGCAATTGAGTATTAAACCATATTTAAATAAATTACTTTTTAACGTAATAATTATAAAATGTACCTTATTTGCACACACACACACCAAAAAATTACATATCATGTACATTTACATGTACATGTATTTCAAAAATTTTATAATAACGATAAATGCGAAACACAAAAAAATGCACGTTATAGAATCTTTCCTAAATGAGACAGTTATGTATCACACGATTATCTGATCTCGAAGGTCAAGTCGAAATTATGCCAAACACATAAAAACACAAAACCACACGCGGTGAATTTCTGGATTAATGAACGTAACGTGTGTTTACTTTTCGTATTGATTTCATTGTTACATAATTTTCTCTTATTGAGCGATTGAAGTAATATGGACAAAAAAATAAATTTATGTACATGTATTGCTCAAAAAAAACCATGTTTAATGAAAGCACATTATCTGGCTTTGTTCTCAACAAATGATTTCATATGACACAATCATCTGCGTCAATTGGCTCAATACTTTATACAAAGACTTCTTAAAATCGTTATATTGCAATGGCAACAGAAGATTGAAAAAGCTATATGCATTACGTCAATCTTTTGTTTCATTTATGAATTGCCGAATGTCATGAAAAATTCTGATTGGACCCTAACCTATAGAAAAATTTTTTCCAAATTAATTTTTTATACGATCCGGTTCAAAAAGTCCGTTCATTACAGATTATCGAAGTTTCTTTGTCTAAAATATTACGAGCACATTATTTCAGCAAAATTCTTTGCACGCAGGATTTTAAAGATATACAAAATAAAATGACAAAAATACATAATGAATATATAATGAATGAGGCACAAGCATATTAAAATATCAAAATAATCAAGATCTCTTTTTGCTCAATTCAGAAAAATACATCTGGTCCAATGAGGTGTCCTTGATAGCTACTCTCAAGTGTTAAATGTGATATGTATTAACGAAAAGCTTTCAATCAAAATAATATGTGGCTTTAGAAAAGATAAGCTCAAAATACTTATATATGCAAAATACGGAGGCCTAGTAAAATACTATGGACAAAATATGCTTATTGTAAATTTTATTAAGCTTATCGAAAACTCTATTGAAAATCAATGTGAATAAAATTATTTACTATTATTAATATCTTAATCTCTCTCTCTCTCTCTCTTTTTTCTCTTTTAATTAGTTGCTATCTTTCTAAACTTATAAAGACGCTTACATTCGACCTTATTTATCTTAATTTTATCTTACATTGCCTATATAAATAAAATACTTAATATTTTTTTCTAATAAGAAGAACTTCGAATACAGAACAGATAATCAAACGTTAAAATTAATCAAAGCGAATATATAATCATATCTAAGTAGATTAAAAATCTGTCTTAAAAGCAAGAGGATCATTTTCAAACCATTGATCGTTATGCAATATGTTAGAAGTAATTCCTTCTATATTAGAAGGAGTCCCTTCTTCACGTGGTTTTGGCTCAGAACCTTCTCGCCTTGGTTTTTTAGATTTTTTGATGGGCTTCTTGAAAAAATCAGGTGTCATGATTGAAAAATTGCGCACTTTGGTCTTCGTATTCTTTTTCGCATGACGCCTTATTGATTCGGAGGCGTCTTGGTATACTTTTTTGTCAACTTTGTCCCAATTTTCTGAGGCCAACTGGGAGATATCCGCAGCTTGTAAATTGCGACCTGCTGCGTGTAGTTCCTTGGTTAGCAATATGCGATATATAATGAAGGCGTTAGGTGCATTATGGCATCCTTCTTTACTAATGTACTCTTGGACGAGCTTATTTGCTGATATCTTAGGATTTGAAATATCGAATCTGCTTTTGGCCATCTTGCTCTGCTCAGTCAGAGTATGTTTTAAGTGGCAACGCCATGTCTTTTATAAATTTTAGTTAAAAAATTCATCGAAGATTAACTCCGTTATGTGGGTCCAATGACGGTGCAGAACTCCAAAATTCCAGCTCGGAACCATTTTGATTAACGAAGATAATGTAAAATGCAAGGCTGATAAGTTGACTTTGTGAGTACATGTATTGTAAACTTTACATTTTTAGCCATTCAAGTAAGCTTATGGGTGAGACATGTATTTCTTACGCGAAAATGGGGAACAGTAACATTTATTAAAAAAATCTTTAATAAGAAATAAAAAGTAAATTTCGATCTAAATATTCTTTGGTTACATATTCATTTTTTTGAAATTGATCATAAACACAACATTATTCATTCTTCACTTTCCAAATATATTAATAGAATTGTAATCGAGCGTATTATTTTATCTAATCGTAATTACGTATTTGATTTTATCTTTCGAAATAACATCGTACATTTTCAAGGTATTTAAGCTTTGTCTTTTCTAAATCAACACAATATGCCTATATGTTATTGTAGGCCGACAATTAGCCCAATTAAAGGGCGCAATACATATATATCTATATATATGTATATACACAGTATATATATAAATATATATATATATATATATATATATATATATATATATATATATGATGTCAAATAATTCTTATAAGAAAAGTTTAATAAAAATATCCTTGCGCAAGCTGTGCTCAATGAGAAATTTCGATATTTTTTTAGAGCAATGTGCATCATGCGCCAAAACGCCATAATCATAATGTAGTGAAATTTATGTCAGCTTTTTACCCAGTCGGGGTTATTCTAAAGTCATTAAACACAGATTTAAATATCTATATAGGGTTTAAATTTAATAATGTTCACGGAGTTATTGGTATTTCGGTAATGGGAAAAAGCACAGGCCGGTTTTTTGATGCTGATTGTTATAATATGACAATAAATACATGTAAATAAATTCGGCATTTACGTGTGAGCTGTTGTATGAATTTCTATCAAAAGATACACGTAATCGGCGTATATATGTAATTACATGTACTTGGCAATCGATCAGTTGATGCCGAAAACAACCATAACAATAAGAGACAATTATAACATTTACAAAAGCATCCATTCTCGTCTATATTTAGAGCTCTATTCTTTTCCCACCCATATTTAGAGATAAAAGTATGGCATGGCTTGGACGAAACAAAAGTTTTGAAATCGGGAAATGATCAGCAACTTGAAATCTATTTGTATTATTCAACAAAAATAGGTTTATATATTTTTGATATCGGATACCTACACCAAATTTCCAGTTCAATGGTACATGTACACGTATTTAGTTTAGAATTCTGGACAGGCCATGGGAAGCGAAAGATTTTTCTCTTTCCATTCATTAACTGGTTGATTTCCGTGAACTGGAGCATTATCATCTTTGAAAAAGATGAACAGAACGAGTTGGAAGTTCAGTTCATCTAAAAATGGCTTAAGATTCCATTCAAGTATTTTTGACCGGTTACTGTGTTTCACAGCTTCAATTACTCCCAGATTACACGATTCTATACTAAGAAGAAGGCAATAAATGTCGTATTTTTCGTGGGTTTACGTCAAACCCATTGCCGTGAATCATTTCGGAATATTAAATATTCCCATTCAAGGAACTAATCTTTCCTTTCTAGACGTTTTTTTCGGACATAAAAAATTTTCTTAGTCCAGCCCGACCATTTATTTCATGAAAAAATGACGACGTATGGTTTAAGAATTTCCAAAGTAGTATTGTGTTTTTCAGTAATTTCATCAATTGCTTTTCTTTTACAATTTTAACTATTCTTCGGACGGCTCTAACATTTAATATTCGTGGTCTACCGCGTCGGATAGCAACTGTGGTTCGGCCAAACACTTTGTGTATAACGTTATGAACTATGGATTTGGGTCTTTCTAGAGTTTCTTCGATGCCTTTTTCGGAAAAACACACTCACTTCCAGGCACTACCATGCATGCTCAAAATTCGTAAGTTGCCAATTTCTGCGGCTGTTGGTTAACGATTGAAGTCACCCCATTATGTCATGTCCGATTCCAAACCTGAGTATATATTAAAAAATTAAAAAAAAAAGTAAGAAAATGCGAATTCAAGTTAGAAAATGGTAAATTCTCTATTACTTGTTAAAGTCAGAAACAGTTAACTGCCAATGCATTATTAATAATCATTTCGTGTCAATTTCCTCTCTTTTTGCATCATTTATCACTATATTTATTTGTCATTACAGAAAAAAAATAACTTAACTGCGTAGTTTGTGATATATTATCGGACCGTTATAACGGATAATGGACCGTTATTATAACTGCTTTCATCTTCACATGTGAATCAAAATTTGTGCAACAAAAATGGATAACACAATGACAATGCAATTCCAAAAATAGAATTTATACAAGATTTCTTTAATAAGTAACTCGAATTGCTTTAACGTTAAGGATTTACACGAATTTAAATATAATTTTTATGTGTTAATTTTAAGTTATCGTTATCCAATCTTTTATCAAGGCTTGTACAGGAAAGCAAACGCAACTTCATAATGAATTGGAATGCATTCATTCGAAATGCATTGCTTGTTCAGTCGTATTTTTCTTATTTTTTTTTATTTGGTCTTCGTTAATTTCGAGAACGGAACGTCCCATTAAACATTTGTTAGCGCAGTGCAGTATTGTCATTTGGACGTAAATTCAGCAATATGATTGGATGGCACAAAATACTGCATTGAGCCTGAAGTGATTCTCTATATATATATATCGTCTGTGTTCTCAACCTCTTGTCGTTTTTCAGTATTGATATTCTCCCGAAACTTGAGAAATTCGCTGTTTGGGAAGCAAATTTCTTTGTTACCACACCATGATATACTGTTTACCTTTATCTTGATTTCGTCGTCGTCATCATATGTTGATCGATTGTTAAGTCGATTGGAATTGCCTCATTATTGAAAAAAGCCTCGTGATGTTGTATATTACACGTTCTAACTGGCGTTCAAATAAAGAAGCGTCACTTGTAAGTTGTTCCCAGCGAAAGAAATGGCGACGTGAGATTTTTTTGTTGCAGCATATTTTTTTATTTGTTCATATTGTTGAAAAAATACAATTAAAAACATTATGTAAAAATATAATTATCATGAAATTATTAAAATAAAAATTACTCAATATCGACCGGATGCAAGAATGAAATGAAATTTTATCATTGATGAGATGAGTTTGTTTCAATTTTTTTATGATTCATGAAATCACTCAGAAATTATGAAGTTAAATCAGATTTCTATACCTTGAAAAATCTCATAGAATATTAAAACATACACGATTAGAACCACATCATCACGAAGAATTCAACAATAGTAATATTCTGGCTTTTGTTGGCAAGAAATAGGAAAATATTGTTGTATTGATATGCTAAATCAGTGAATCTACCAGATTTTTAGAGGGTAAATCAGATTAAAACCTATATTAATGCTGAAGGTGCCCATACTGAGTATTATTTAATAGTCATATTTACTCTCAATCATTTAAGAACGAGTTTTGTTTCAATTCAATTTTATTATGGAATTGCATAAATAAATATTAAAAAACCCTTCACCATTACTTTCACTGAGGACTGAACTGTTGTCTCGTTTCTACAGTTCATATTCTGTTCAAATGTATCATGCTCGAGCTTTTGATATCATTAACAAAACAGAAGAAAGAGTTTGAAGAACTTGAAGCATTTCATTTTTCTGCAAACACAAATTGTACGTGTACATGTATACGTAATGCCAAAAATCTTCATGATAGAACAATATGATCAACAGTATTGTATTGTGCATGTATGACAAAATTTTATTAACAATAACGATAAGAACCAGATACTCATAGAGGCCCCCCTCCCTATCCGAGATCTTTGATAAAAGTAATCATACCCGAGAAATGTCACCATATTAGTTATGTTCCCTGCCCAACTTCCCACAACATCTTGATAATCCAAGATTACGAAATATCAGCCAATAAATATCATGCATGCGAACCTAAAAGTTGTTAACGTTAAATATCAAATCACAAATGCTATTTTAAATTCAATGCATATGTCTCACAAAGTCAAATAAGTTATAAATCGCTTATTACAAAACTTGTGTTAAACTTCCAAATGCATTTTCTTTAAAAGAGGTTATTGGTACGAGTAGAAAATAATCATAAAAATATATATGATATTTTCGTCTAATAATCAAGCAAAATATATTATTCAGTTATGCGTCGATTGCTTAATATACGAAATTTCAAAATGCTGACGAGAAATAAAAATTCTTTAATAGAACTAGAAAATGCTTTACATTATTTACACACATGATACACGATGAGTCATTATACTGTACATGATGAGAATTTTTGTATTCACCGAAAATTAACTTTATTTTACGTGCTTTTGCTTAGAAAAATAAATTGTAAGCAGCCTTAGAAAATTAAGAAGAGCCAACACGTTCTCGCACTATCTTAGATTATCTTAAAGGGTTTTTAATTTGATATATTATTCTAATATGCAGATAAAAAGGTATTGAAATTTTGATGCACAACGAAAAATAGCGATTGCTAGAATATATAAGAAAACCATTTTCGTAAAAAAGACCAGTATATAATATATATATGAGAAAGGCCAGTTCTTGGTAAGTTCGAAGATTGAAAAAATAAAAGTTAAACAGAACGAATGCGAAAATATACGATTTGTATTAATACACGAACAGATAAAAACGGTAAGAGCCCTTAAAGTAGAGCTTAGAGCTGCGAATTTTTATATCGACGAATGTTCGTAATCAGCGCTGATTTGACGAATTTTCGAAAAGGAGATTGACCAATAATAGGATGATTTCATTCATGCAATTATTGTGATACCGGGAATGCTGCTGGAACCTACAACTGTGGGCAAGCAGTGGCTCCTCTATTGCATCTTTCTCCGGGAGAACGGGCATTTTGTCT